GTATCTTCAGAGGGTGGTTGAGTATGTGAGAGCCTTGGAGGAGTTGAACTACACTGTAGTGAGAATGAGATCATCTACACCACACTCTAGGGGCTGGATCGAGAAGCAAACAAGGCTCTACTACAATACCTTCACCTAGAGCAGCAGAAATGGACCAAGGCCTCGATATGGGAGGAGCTGGTTTCTGATGAGGCTCGCAAGCGTGATGTGATGGTGCAACCCTACGGTTTGCACTCGGCTTGTTGTCCGAGTGCATGCATGCGTGTGTGCATGGAATGGTATGAGGGCATGAGATAATATATATTTCATGCTTATTATAGTGTGTGAATGATCAGTCATTATGTCGAGTGTGTATGTCGAGTCAATAGCGAGTTATCGCTAGTCGTGTGTTACGCGGTCATTTGTGTCTCGCGTGCGGTTTATGTTTTGTCGTGTATCCCGTGCGCGGTTTCTATTTTGTCGTGTGTCGAACGTTCGGCGTGTCGTAGGTCTGTGCAGCAGACCCATCAAGAACTCAAGGACGAGCTTGTGATGAAGAGCACGAGCCTTGGTGTCAAGACTCATGTGATCTCGAAGCCTGCAAAAAAGGGTACACCTCAAGATAACGCAAATAGTTACATTACTTTGTGTAGTGTAACATTTCAGTTGGTGTAGGCCCTTGTGGTGGGTAGTTTCAAGATCTTTTTTGTTTGGGGACATTGTGGCACTGTTTCACATCACTGTACCTCGGCTCTTGCGGTTTGTAGGAGCTGGGAGTCATTTCCAACTCGTAACTCTTCCTATTGTGTGTTCTAAGACTATAGTGGCTGCCATAGTGCCGTTCGTTCAAACTGACGCTGTGTCGTCAATGCTTGGTGACATTGTGCGATATAAACTGCCTATTGTAGGCGATGGTAAGACGCTCCAGATCCAAGTTGAATGAGGTTATTTGAAGCTGTGTCCATAACGCTATGAACGTTTGAAGCCGCTGTGCAGAAATCCGATTGTGCACTCTATCTTTAGTTTTAGGAATATTGGAGCCTACTGTGAATATAACAAGTGGTATAAGAGCTCCTTGGAGCAGCTACGATGATGGCTGGACCTGAAGAAAGGGGTGACAGAGGTGCTGGAGGCAGTGGAGGACCCCAAGCACAAGGTCAACCCCGTGAATCAGCCATGGCGCCCGTGCAACCTACTCTTGGACCTTCTAGGGATGAACCAAGAGTGTTCGGGCTTGACAAGTTCAATGGTGACAACTTTGCTGAGTGGTCCTTCAGAATGGAGAACGTGTTTGACCACTATGACCTGCTGGAGGTGATGGAAGGAACGGAGAAGTGCCCCGGAGATGATCCCGTGGGTGCGGAAAAGCGCACAAGGCTACCTCCTACTTGGGCAAGCGTTGGGGAGCAGCCAGATCAGTCACATCAAGCCATTCCAGCGTGAACCAGAGAAGGGACGAAAGGCATGGGCTGCTCTCAACGGTGTACACGCTCCTGCGACATCAGCGGTAGCTGTGGTGTTGGAACGGCAAATGGCGACACTACAAATTGACGAGGATGAAGCGGTTGAAGAAGGGGTGCAGAAATTCTTTGACTTACGACACGGCTTGAGGGAGCTGATTTGAACTACAGTGAGCTCCAGAAGAAGATCAAGTTGCTCCAAGAGTCATAGTCCTCGCTCATCATCAACCTCAACCGAGATCTGCCCCGCCTCTCGCTCGAAGATGTGAATCGAGCAATCCTTCAAGAGGATTTCCGCCGCCGTGAGTTGGCGAGTGCGGATGGCGCCGGGGCAGCAAGCATTGGCCGGGGGTATGGCCGTGGATGGGGTAGAGGACGAGGGGGAGGCAGATTTGGCAGCAACAACTTCAATGGAGGCTGCAGGAATGGCGGTTACGGCAACGACGACGAGAGCTACGGACGCGGTCGCGGCTGATTTGACGGCGAATGCCACTATTGCCACAAAAGCGGACACATGTGGCGCGACTGCTACAAACTCCCTGATGGTTGGACCCCTGCTCAAGGCCAGGAGGGTAGAGGAGCTGGAGGAGGGAGAGGAAGAGGCCGTGGAGGCTGTGGCGGTCGTGGAAGTGGAGCTGCAAACATGCGGAGTGGAGATAACGAGATGGACCCGAGCGGCGATCGGTACCCGGGTCAATTCCTTTTTATGTCAACGTAAGCACCGGCTGGACCAGGGAAGGATGAAGGCTTTGAGAAGCCAGAATCTGTGGGAAAGGTGACCCTACACCCCCTGGACTATTGGGTGATCGATAGCGGCGCTACCTACACCATGACACCTCGCGCGGACTTGCTCACCGAACTTGAACCGTCACCGGTGAAGCAGATTGGGGAGCAGCAGACAGGGGAGCAGCAGATAGGGGAGGAGCAGATTGGGGAGCAGCAGATAGTGGACCAGCAGCCAGGGGAGCAGCAGACAGGGGAGCCGTAGACAGGGGAGCAGGAGATGTGCGGAATTAGAGATGGTGGTCGTGTGCTGGTTTCTGGGACGATCACTGCACCGCTGTGTTGCTCCACTCGCATCACTCGTGGTGTCCCGCTGGTTAAATATGTTTGGGCAGTAGTGATTGAGCCGATGGGTTTGGATGACGAGGAGGAGGATGAGGAGTGGACGGACCTGGACCCAGATGTGGTGGCCGACCTCGAGAGGCAATGGGATATAGCGAAGATTATAGTGAAGGAGGCCTTGGGCTGCTGGAAGGGCGACAAGATGAAGGGGGCGATGGATGAGGAGATGCTGAGCTTGATTGAGCAAGGGACATGGGAGTTCGTTCGCGTCTGCCAGAGGTGAATGTGATGAAGAACCGCTGGATTTTGAACACCAAGTTTCGACAGGATGGGATAGTGGAGTGTGAGAAGGCGAGGCTGGTGGTGAAGGGGTTCACACAAGTGGCCGGGGTGGACTATGAGGAGACGTACGCCCCTGTGGGAAGCTATATGACGGCACGTGTGCTTCTGGCGATCGTGGCTGCACTTGATTTAGACCTAATGCCTCCATGGTGTGCTGGACCAAGACCTTTACATGGAGCGGCCGAGCTACTACGAGGATGGGACTCCTAGTTTCTGTAAGTTGGTAAAGAGTGTGTATGGGCTCAAGCAGAGCCTGATGCTATGGTATGAGGCTTTGGATGGGGTTCTACTTGGGGATGGATGGAAGAAGAGCCAAGTGGATGAGGCTCTGTAGTTCAAGAGTGATGCTGACGGAGAGATGTGCTGGCTGCTGGTGTATGTGGATGACTTACTTGCTGCTAGCCGCAGTCAGTGTGACCTACTGCAGAATGCGTTCCAACTGCGGGAGATTAGTCCTGTGGAGAAGTATCTAGGCTTGCAGCTGGTTCGGGACAGGCCTACGAGGAGGCTGTGGCTGCACTAGGGGGCCTATGTGGACAAGGTCCATAGGCGCTTCTTTGACGGGGAGCAGCTGCTGTGAGTGCCTCGCACCCCTCTTCCCTCTGACCTTTTTAGTGTGCTGACTTTCGAGGATGTGGGATGGTAGTCTCGCCAGGAGGAGGAGTACAGGCAGAAGGTGGGATCCTTGCAGTTCGCGGCCTATACCACCCGTCTTGATCTCCTTCGCCTGCAGCAAGCTGGGGTCGGGCCAAAGTGTGCAGAGTGATCAGCACTGGAAGGACTTGGACAGGTGCTTGGCGTATTTGGGAGCAGGGATGTGGTGCTGAGTTTGGTGGTGGGCTGGATTCCTTGGAGTTGGTGGGCTATGCCGATGCTGATGATGCAGGGGACAAGCAGAACAGGACCAGCACTGGTGGCTATGTCTTCGTGCTCGGAGGTGCTGTTGTCTCTTGGGCGAGTCAGAGGATTCATTGCGCCACCCTCTTTTCCACTGATTCTGAGTAGTTTGCTGCTGTAGAGGCTGGGAAGGAGACGCGCAGGCTGTGCTTCCTGCAGGCAGATTTTCAGCTGCTGAGGAGTGAGGAGCCCACTTCTCTCTTTGTGGATATCTCCTCCGCCATTTCAGTATGGCATGGAGCTCAAGGGGATTCTCAAGCACATGGAGCGTCGCCACATGCGGCTGCAGCACATGGTCAAGCGTAGGAAGCTGCACCTGCAGTACATTCCTACGAGCGAGCAGCTGGCTGACTACCCGACAAAGGCGTTGCATTTCCCCGCCTTCAGGTGAGGCGTTGCTTCGAGGCTGTGGGGCAGGTGAGGCTCTCGAGTGAGGGGAGTGAGACTAGACTCTCCATGATGGGGATGGTGCCATGGCCTATCCACGGCTGGTGCGGTGCGTGTTTGCACTTTGAGAGTGCTTCGTTTGTGTGTGTCCCTTTTATTTTGGTGTGTATTTGTGTATGCATGCCATATGATTATTAAAGGCCTTGCTGTAGTATGGCAGGGGAGTGTTAGAGGGCCCTACGACAGCAAGGGCCCTCAATGACCTGGCAAGACAACTACGCTAAGACGGACATTGAAGACAGCAATGCAGGAAATGCGCTGAGGTCGCGCGTCTACTGCAGCGCCAACAAAATCTGTTCTCAGGTGTTACTGGTCTGGGGAAGTCGTGAGCATGATTCTTGGGAAGCATGCCACTTCCTAGCAAGTCTGTGTTGTCATGTGTGGTGTAGCCGAGTTGGAGTTGGTGTTAGCTGGGGTGGCGTGCGAGAAGGGCCGTTCCGCTGCTGAGTTGGGTTGAAATTGTACGAGGCGCGTTCACCCATCTGCATGACATTTTCGTGGGGTTGGGTTACTGCGCAGCGCCACGCCATGTTTGTGAAACTCTCCCATAGCCTATATCTAGTTGTGTGTTTTCTGTTGTGTGGATGGATAACATATTTCTACCTTTGCAAAGTGCTACTTCGATTCCTATTTCAACGCTAGAGGCAAACGCTACCAGAACTCTACCAAGTAGCTGGCGCAACACCATTCACATAGAAGAAACTCTCTCGCTAACGCTACGCTCTTCATATTATTTCTTCAAGGGGAAACTTCCGCCACATGGCACATGAAAGCAGAAGGGGCTTCAGAGACTAGTGGATGGCAGAAAAGATGCTGCGCACTCTCACTTCCATCGCCTCCCTCGTCCTCGTGCACTCGTGCACCCTGTCTCAAATCCCCTTTCCCCCTCTAAATTTTGTTACAAAATCTCCCCTTCTCCACCCGTGCTCTCAAAAACCTCCTCCCCTCCTCCCCCCCCCCCTCTTCCCTCCCCCCCTTCACTCTTCGCCTTACCCACGTATGCAGGTCACTCAAGGGCTCAAGCGCCTGGGGCGGGGGACGAAGGACGCACGGCAGGGGGGAGCAGGGGGGGTGAAGGAAGGGAATGAGGGGAAGAAGAGAGGTCGTCCGGGGGGTGCCGGGGACGAGGAGGATGGCGAGGAGGGGAGGGGGAAAGGGGGGAGATAGCAGAATAGACCACGGTTGATGGAGGAGGCGGGAGGGGGGGAGGGGGAGGAGGGGGGCATGGATAAGGAGGAAAGGCAGCGGCTGTTTGAGCAGTTGACTGAAGATGTGATGCTGCTCATGGATGCTGGCAAGACAGGTACGGTGAGACAGGTACGGTGAGAGAGGTACAGTGAGACAGGTACGGTGAGTCTGGTACGGTGAGAGTGGTACGGCGGGACAGGTTTGGTGAGAGAATTACGGTGAGAGAAGTACGGTGAGTGAAGCATAGGGAGACAGGTACAGTGAGGATGGTAGGGTGAGACAGGTATAGTGGATGGGTAACTGCTTATGTAGAGCATAGGCATTGGGAGCATCATCCTGTGAAGGAGCTGGGTCGGTCAGAGGATGATTGTTGTTCAAAGTCCAGTGCATCACACATGCTGCTGCATGCCTCTGCTCCTGCCTCGCATGGCACACACGCCATGCCATACTTAAGTCAAAATTGGCGCATGACACGAGAAGTGCTGCATGCTCCATGGCACGCATCCAATGCCATGGCACGCACACGAGGGCAGTGAGAGAGCATGCCATTCATTCTTCTTCACCCCCTTTACCCGCCCCATGCGGCACGGTGCTTGTTTTTGGAGTAGGCTAGAGCTCGCTCTGGCATTTATCATGGTGTTCTTTTGTTATTTCGCCATGTTTAGAGGGCGTTACACTTTCGGTTCAGTTTATGTTCATTTCTTAGTTTCTAGCAAAAGCTAAACACAAGGGTGTGTTTAGCTTGTGCTAATAAGACTCCTCTTATTTCTCCCCTCACCGGCTCAGCAGCTGACTACCTTGTCCCTATTCCTCCTCCTCTTATTTCTCCCCTCAACGGCTCAGTAGCTGACTACCTCCCCCCTATTCCTCCTCCTCTTTTATCTCCCCTAGGTGGTGCCTCTTCTCGCTCTTACCTCTCTTCCTCTGCGCTTCCGCCCTCACCCTTCTCCTACCGTACCTCCTCTCCTACCCTTGCCTTCCCTACTCTCCGCTCCCTTCGCTGCCCCTTCCTCCACTTGCACCTCTCCTACTAGCCGCTGGACATCCCCTCTTCTCCACCCCTCTGCTTCGACTCCGCTGTCCCATCACCGTCGCCGCTCATCTGCCGCTGTAACTACTGGTATGGGTTCTCTGGCCTCTGTCTTCAGTGTGACCATGCCATCGCATGATAGCATCCTTGGTGCTTCTCCTCTTATGGATCCTTGCTTTGTCGTTCCACTTTCTCCACCCCTTCAAAGAACTACCCCTCACTCTCCCAGCCCTACAGCTGCCATTCTCTCACTTCCTCGCACCTTGAATTTTGTCCTTGACAGTGATGGTACTGACTCTCTCTTTCGTGATGCCGGTGTCCTTCTCAAATTTTCTCGTCCCCTCTCTATTGATGGGGCTGGGGAGACCATGACCATGATCTGCACTGGCACTTCCTCGGGCTGGGGAGACCATGACCATGATATGCACTGGCACTTCCTCTCTTCCTTGTCCTGCCTCTCCCTCTGGCGCTGTTACTGGCCGTTATGTTCCCTCTTGCCTTCATAACCTCTTATCTCTCCCCGCCTTCCAACGCCTGAGTGCGCGAGCACTCTTCCCCGCAGGTGCACTCTATGGTGATCTTCATTACCACGACCGACACCTCGCTCGTTTTGCCCTTCTCCTACTACTCGCCTCTACACCCTTCGTGTTCCCCTCCCCTCATCTGTCCATCACAGTTCCTCTTTTACCCCTCCCGCCTCCTCTTGTGACTGTCGATCTCTCACCCAACCTACTCTTCTTCTCCATCATCGCCTTGGCCACCCCAACTTCCCTCCTCTTCGCAGCATGGTCAATTCGAAACTTCTTCATGGTCTCCCTTCCTCTCTCCCGCCCCTTCCCCCCTCTCCCGCTCTTCCATGCACCCCTTGTGATCAAGCCAAGCTCTCCCAATCTTCTCATCCTTCTTCCCCTTTTGCCTCCCCTAAACCCCTTGATCTTGTGCATATGGACCTCTGGGGTCCCTCTCCCATTGCCTTCCGTCAGTATCGTTGTTACCTTGTCCTTCTTGTCAATTACCACTCTCGCTTTGCCACTGTCTAATCCCTCCGTTCTAAATCTAACGCCCCCTCCCTCATCATTCGCTAGGTTGAGCAGGCACGCCTTTGCTTTGGCCGTCCTGTCGCACGCCTCCACTCTGATGGTGGTGGCGAGTTCTTTAACCACTTTCTCTCTCTTCTTACTGCTCCTCTCATGGCATTCGCCAAACCTCCACCCTTCCGCATTCTCCCGAGAAGAATGGTGTTGTCGAGCGTCGCATTCGCACTCTCATGGTGTTCTCGTGCCTCTACTCCACACTCTCTTTGGAGCTACGCTCTTATTCATGCCACTCTTTTTTACAACCTTCGCCCTCATCCCTTTTGCCCTTCCACTACACCCTTCCAGCTCTAGACTGGCCGCTAGCCATCCGCCCGCCCTCTTTGGGTGTGGGGCTGTGTCGCTCATGTCCTCATTAATCCCGCAGATTGAGCACGTCAAGGTGGGAAGCTCGCTCCCAAGACGCAGCTCTGTGCGTTCATTGGCATCAACACTTACTGTCCTAGCTATCTTTTCTATGCTCCCTCCTCTCAACAGCTCATTCGCAGCTAGGATGTTATATTTGATGAGACTCGTTCTCCATTCCTCACCCCCCCCCTCCCTCCCCTCCTCCTCCCTCTCTCCATTGATCTGGTTATGATCAGCTGCCCTCTGCTGCTCCCTCTCCTTCTCCCTTTCCTCCTGCCCCTGCTCTGCCTCCCCTCCCTGCCCCCTCCACCCCCCCCTCTACTGTCATCTCCGGCATCTCTCCTCCTGCCTCTTCCTCTTCAGCTCCCATGCCCTCTCCTTCACAACATCCTTCTCCTCTCCCTCGTTCTGCTCCTGCTCCCCCACCCTCTTTTCACCACCTCCTGCTACCCCTCTTTCTGCTCTTGTTCCTCCACCTTCTCCTAGCTCGCCTCCACTCTTCACTCTCTTGGCTTCTCCACCTCCTCTTCCGACCCCAGTCTCTTCATTCGCACTTCCCCCCACAGTCTTTACATTCTTGCCTACGTCGATGACTTGGTGCTCCTCGCTGAAGATTCTGCCGACCTTGCTGTTGTCAAGCAGGCCCTCTTGACACATCTCCTGTGCAAGGATCTTGGCAAACTTCGTCATTGCCTTGGCATGGAGATCTGTCATGATTGTGCTGCATGCACCATCTCCCTCTCTCAATCTTTCTACATCCACTCCATTCTTGAGCGCTTTGAAATGTCGCAGGCCAAGCCAGTTTTCACTCCTCTTCCCACTAACCATCAGCTTACTTCCCCTGCTGTTCCCGCTCCCTCCTCAGAACTGCGACCCTAATCTGAGTTCGTTGGGTCACTCATGTAAGCTATGATGTGCACTAGCCCCGATCTTGCTTACCCCCTCAATTTCGTCTCTTGTTTTATTGGCCTTGGTCGCCACGCTAACGTGCACTGGGTGGCTGCGAAGCGTGTTCTCCACTTTCTCCGGGCTACCTTTGATCTTGCACTCACTCTTGGTGGCTCTTCTCCCTCCGTTCTTTCCGGTTACAGGGATTTCTCCTATGCTGATTCTCGCCCTGCTAGTCGCTCCTCTCAGGGTTATAGTTTTACACTTAGCAGTGGCCTCATCAGCTGGTGCTCCACTCGTTCATCCTCCGTCTGCCTTTCCACCTGCGAGGCTGAATTGTACGCAGGCACATTAGCGGCTCAGGAGGCTCGTTGGCTCTCGTTTCTCCTTGCTGAGCTCTCAGCCCTCTGTGACGCTCTCCTGTGACAGTGCGAGCATGATTCACCTCACTGAAAATGCTGACGATCATGCTCGCAACAAACACATCGAGGTACGCTACTTCTTTGTGCGCGAGTTGGTGCAATCTTGCCTCCTTTGCCTTCGCAAGTTGGCGGCTACTGCCAACCTTGCTGACATTTTCACCAAGGCTCTCCTTCGTGCGCCACACCGTTTCTACGTGCGCGCGCTTGGGCTCACTCGTCTCGCCACTTCTAGAGGTGTTCTGGTTCGCTAGGTATTTTGTTCAAGAGCTTCACCTAGCCTGTTGGTGTGTTGGAGTAGGCTAGAGTTGGCTCTGGCATTTATCATGGTGTTCTTTTGTTATTTCGCCATGTTTAGAGCGCGTTATACTTTCGGTTCAGTTTAGGTTCATTTCTTAGTTTCTAGCACAAACTGAACACACCCTAAGTTCAATTAGGGTTTCCTACATTTGAATCACGCTATCTTCTCTCTAGGCAACCATGGCTTCCTCAAGCTTGATCTTAACACTTGTATGCGTGCAAAGGTGTACTTGGACAAGAAGGAAACGTTTGAGCGCGAGGCAGCATTGTACCTTGAACGGCTGTGAGCATGGTCCGGGTGTGTTGTTTGCTCCCCCTTTCTTTCCTCCACCCCATGCGGCACAGTGCGTGCATGAGTGCAGAGGTGTACTCGGACACGAAAAAGAAACGTTTGAGTGCAAGGCCGCGAGGTTCGAGGCCATCCTCAGGGCGCGCCAGGGGCTGCTGGGTGGCGACGGGGGAGAGGAGACCAAGGGGGATGGGGGCAAAGGGGGGAGGAGAGAAGGAGTGGGGAGAAGGGAGGTGCGGGGATGGACATGTTTGGTGATGAGGATGATGAGGGCAGGGGTGATGCAGGGGCCGATGGTAAAAGGGGCGATGGTAAAGGGGAAGGGGGGGAGAAGGAAGGTGAGAGGAACGAGGCCAAGGGAGGTGCAAAAGGGAAAGAAGGGGAGATGGGTGGAGGGGAGGGGAAGGAGGGAGGGGAGGAGAAGGCAGGGGGTGGGGGGAGTGGAGCGCTGAGCAACAGCGGCTATGAGTTTGACCACGCCAGTGGTTGAGTGCATGGCTGCTCTGGGTAACCGAACCTTTCCGTCCACTGGTTGAGAGCAGAGTGTGAGAGTAAAGGGTGCTTCTCTTCTTGTGTCTCTATCAGCTCAACCCGCCCACCCCCCTCCTTTCCCACCACCACACCCGTTCCTTCGCGACCCCGCCTCTCCCCTCTTCCCTCCCCATGTCCCTCGCTTCTACTGTTTGCAAATGCGATAGAACTTTCTTCAGGCCACCGCACTTGGCATGTCAATGCCAGCAATGTCCCTCCGCTCCCCTCTTCCCCCTCTCAACTGGACTTCCCCTTTCCACTTCCCAGCTACCACTGTAACAAGGTGTAGGGGTATTACTAGGACTTCTCTTCTAACGAAATCTCTCGCACCCGTCCCACAACTCCCCCCCCCCCCCCACCCAGCTACTACTTCAACAAGCAGCAGGGGCATTACTACGACTACTCCTCTGGCCTTTTTTGCAGTGCTGCCAATGGCATATGGTAGGGTAGAGTGCGGTATAGTGAAGTGACAGATGCTGGCACACAGTAGGGTAGGATGCAAGCAGTTCGATGTGGTGACAACCTGCTGCTCGCATGCTGATTTGGTTCTTAGAGTCTCGTTTGCATGCCAAGATCCCTGTGTGAGCCCAAGCCACCTGTGTGAGTCCAAGCCGCCTGTGTGAGCCCAAGCCACCTCTGTGAGTCCAAGCCGCCTGTGTGAGCCTAAGCCGCCTGTGTGAGCCCAAGCCGCCTGTGTGAGCCCAAGCCGCCTGTGTGAGCCCAAGCCACATGTGTGAGCCCAAGCCGCCTGTGCGAGCCCAAGCCGCCTGTGGGAGCCCAAGCCGGCTGTGGGAGGCCAAGCCGCCTGTGTGAACCCAAGCCGCCTGTGTGAGCCCAAGCCGCCTGTGTGAGCCCAAGCCGCCTGTGTGAGTCCAGTCAACGGGAGTTGTTGTTGGCCCCGTCCTCGCTTGGGCGGAGCCGACTTCGTGGTTGGGTGTACGGGAGGTACAGCCGACTTACAGCAGTGGGCGACGCCGACTTGGGCGAGCTGGTCGACGGGGTTAGTCGACTTGCACGGGGCCACTGCAATACCGCCGACTTGGGAAGCCAGAAACCGACTTCAATTGGTGGTCGGCGATGTGGCACGTCGACCTGGAAGTCGGCGCCGACTTGCAAGGTCACCGACTTGCAAGGTCACCGACTTGCAAGGTCGCCGACTTGCAAGGTCGCCGACTTGCAAGGTCGCCGACTTGCAAGGTCGCCGACTTGCAAGGTCGCCGACTTGGGAGGTCGCCGACTTCAAGAGGTCGGCCCGGAAGTCGGCGCCGACGTAGAAGGGGCGTCGACTTGGTGACCCCGACTTCGGGTAGCCGACTTGGGTGGTTGGCTGACGACTGTGCTGGTTGACGAGGAGCTGGTCGACCAGGAGTGACATCAACCTGGAGCTGGTCGACCAGGGGTGTGGTCGACCTGGTGAGGTCGGCTGGAGGTGAGCGTCGACTTGGGAGGTCGACGGGCACATACAGGAGCACCTGGTCGACGTGGTTGCCCGGTCGACCAGGTTACCTGGGTGACGAGGTTCTGTGGAGGAGTGCGACGGTCGCCCAGGCGAAGTTGGCGAGTCCGACCTTGGTGGTGGTATCCCGAGGTCGACGTGGCTGATCAGATGCAGTCGTCAGCGCCAGGTTGACTTGGTGTGTACGCTGTGCAGATGACAAGGCTCCGCACGCCAATCGTCTGCGAGCACCTGCGAAGCTGGTGCGATGCTGTTATGCGGGAGCAACGCTGGCACGCCGTCAACCTGCAACGTTGGCACGCCGTCGACTTTGCACTGTTGGAGCGCGGTCGACCAAGTCATGCTGGAACGCGGTCGACCATGCTGTGCTGGCAGTCGACCGACCTGGATGCTAGCTCTGATGTAGTCTAGCCATGCCAACTTCATTGTACCATTGTTGTCAACCTTTCTTAGTGAAACTCTTGCCAAATTGCCCCGTGAACTAGCAAGCAGTGTGCGCACAAGGAAAACGACTAAGGACCAACGAACGCAGAGATTACACGAGCACCCGTGCCTAGCCCGTAGTCTAGCTCTTGTTTTAGTAGTTATCTCCGCATGGTGCGGTGAGCGTGGACGGCACACGACTTACCTTTCAGTCAGGTCGACGTAGAGGTCACTTACCTAAGTTGTTCGTAGGCCGGCAGTCGTACAGTCACTAACGTGCGCGTAGGTGACACCAAGGTGATGGACACCCTGGAGGGACGGTTGGAGGATGCGAGGAGACGCCATGAGGCCCAGGAGTATGGGACGATACCCTGGGCGGTCATCGAGGCTGGACTCCGCTCTGTGTGGGCGACGGAGCATCCCCCTTCTCGACCAGCTTCTCCTTGACAGGCGACCAACGAATGCGGCGTCGACGTGGGCGTCAACGCCGGAGGTGGCCAAGTCGGCAGCAGTGTGGGAGGCACGTCGAGGCAGAGAGGTGTGATTCACGCCGATGAAGTCGGCGGCGTTCAGACGCGAGGGGTGCAGTCGTCGGCGGCTGCAGGCTCCTTGCAGGGCAACGTCGGAGGACAAGAAAGCGGATTGTCACCGATGTCGGCGACCCAGGTGACGGCGGGCGGGATTGCTACGGCTAATTCAAGTTTGCGCCGGACAGGATCTTGGTCGCCCCGCCGCTCGTTGGTCGACAGGACATCCTCACCTGGAAGGAAGCCATCGAGCCCCAGCTGGAGATGGCTGGGCTGATCAACTTTGCTCGAGGTACTGTGGCGACGCAGGACGACCCCGACTTACGTGCAGAGTTCCGAGCAGTGCAGCTGTTAACCTTCATAGTCATCTCGCGATGCTGCTCGCCGGGTGTGCAGATCGCCTTGAAGTGGTGTCGGGAGTACCTCGACACCGGCCACCAAGCGTGGCACTTCATTGAGTCGACCTACCAAGTCACCGACGACCTGTTCATCGCCCAGCTGGAAGGACAGCTGATGCACCTGCGTATGGGCGACGAGGAGACGGCGACCGACTACTGCAACCGGGCCAGGCGGATTCTCGCCACCATCAGGATGGTCGGCACGCAGTACTCGACGGCGTCGTACGTCACCCACGTCATGCAGGGACTTTCAAGCAATTACAACCTCCTGAAGCGGCTGTCAATGGCGCCGGGCACAAGGACGACGCTCAACGAGGACAACTTGACCTCGTTCATCCTGCAGGACGAGGCGATGCAGGAGGCAGAGCGGTCCCAGGAGCTCTTGGCGCAGGCAAACTTCGTCGCTCCGGCGAAGCAAGGAGGTCGACCGGGGCAGCGCGAACAGTCAGGCGGCGGTGATAGCAGTGGCTGGAAACCGGCCATGGAGGTCGACAAGAAGAAATCGACCAAGGACAGCGGTTGAGGAGGAGGAAGTCGACGTCGGGAGTGCTGGATCTGCCACAGCCCCGACCACCTCTCCTTTGAGTGCCCCGACCGCAGTGACTCCGACAACGACGACGCCAAGGGAGGCCGTGGGAGGTCTGGCAGCCGTCGTCCTCGTCGAGGAGGAAACCAGCCGCGCAAGGAGAAGCAGTCGACCAAGTCGACCTCAGCGAAGGACGCCGACTCCTCTGCTGGCGGCAAGGCACGGGACGACAAGACGGCGTCGTGCTCGCTGGTCGGCGTCGTGGAGCCGACCGTCTCGCTCGCGCTGGAGGCCGAGGAGGACTTCCAGGCGGTGGCGGCAGCTGTGCAGGCGAACCCGGAGGTGGTCCTGCTCGACAGCGGCTGCTCCCACCACCTGATGGGGACGAAAGACGTCTTCGTCGACTTGCAGCCGAGCGGCTCCATCAAGTACGTGCGCGGCTTCAATGGGGCGTTGCATGACGTCCAGGGCCGCGGCACCGTCGCCCTGCAAGAGAAGGCGGGAAGCAGGTGCTCATCCCCGATGTGTTGTACGTCCCGGGTGTGCGGGCAAACCTGCTGTCGTCCGGCCAGCTGAAGGAGCACGGCGTGAAGCTGCAGGAGGACGGCGACGGGATGCTGCTCGTCTCGGCAGCGGTAGAGGTGCTCGGTCGGGCGACGTACTCCTGGCGTATCCTCTGCACCGACCCTCGTCCCTGCTCAACGAGGTCGACATCGCCCACGCCGGAGGTTGTGGCCCTGCGGGCGATCGTCTCGAAGACGAAGTTGACGCCGGACAGGATGCATGCGCGGCTTGCACACGTCGGCATGGACACCATACGGAGCTCAGCGAAGCACGAGGTCGCCACTGGGCTGGACCTCAAGTCGGCGACGGGCGCTGACTCACCGTGTGTCTCGTGCGTCGGCGGGAAGCTGGTGCGGCACACCCTACCCGACCAAGGCTCTGACGCCGACGACGTGCTGGCCGTCGTGCACATCGACCTGTGCGAGCCATTCCGTGTGACTGCCAAGGACGGCAGCTTGTACTTCTTGCTGCTCAAGGACCGCAAGACCCGCTTCGTGTGGGTGAGGCCGGTCGCCAAGAAGTCGGATGTGCTGCTGGAGTTCCAGAAGTGGCTGGTGTTGGTGGAGAGGCACACGACGAAGTCGGTGTTGATGCTTCGCTCCGACCAAGGAGGGGAGTTCCTTGGGAAGAAGTTCACCGACTTCGTGGACGGCAAGGGGATCGTCCACGACCTTACATGCCCGTACACCCCGCAGCAGAACGGCATGGCGGAGCGAGAGATGAGGACGGTGGTCGAGTCGGTGCGGACGATGCTACTGCACATGGGCGTGCAGCACCACTGGTGGCACCTCGCCATGCGGCAGGCCGTCTGGGTCCGCAACTGCCTTGAGAGGTCGACGCTGCCGACGGGGACAACGACGTACCAGCTGCTGACCGGACAGAAGCCCGACTTGTCGCTGGCGCGGGTGTGGGGCTGCATGGCGCAGTTCCTCGTCCCCGAGCAGTAGCGTGGTGGGAAGCTGAAGCCGAAAGGCCACGTGGGGCCTGCACCTCGGTGTGTCGGAGGCGAGCAAGGGCTGGGAGCTCCTCGACATTGACGCCAACCGGGTGGTCACCACGTCGGAC